TGTTTTCATTTCACTGTTCTTATTTCCTACTTTTATAATTTAAAATATACGCAGCACTCCGCATCCGATGTTTCTACTAGCGCGCCACCTACCCGAAGCTTCGAGAATTTGCTGGGCGAAGTCGGCGCGGCGGCGCTCCAGACGTTAGATTATTTTAATATGACGAATCAATATTTAATAATGACTTATTAATTTCGATTAATCCAGTTTATTCTATTTCAACACGTTCCTTGGCAATATTTGAGCCTCCCCCTAAATAGATAATTGACTAGAATAGGCTCATTTTGGTAACCTACAATGTTAATTACAGATGGCAGGCCTTCTGTGCTTGAACAGAGGTCTGACCAGGTTGGATATGGCAGCTAATAATTTGTCAGGAGAAGCGGAGGCAACATTACTGAGCGCGTTAGAACAGAATAGAAGGATACTTCGAATTGATTTACGAAGAACGCGTAAGTTCCAGTACACTTTGTTTGTTTATAGTAACCTTCAGTAATCCATAGGAATCATTCTAAGCGAGGTATATTTTGATCCAATCCCGCCTGAAACTTAACCTATATATTATAAATGCGAATGTTTAATGGATGAAAGTATGTAGGATGGATGTTTGTTAGAGTTTGTAGCCTAAACGGCTAAACGGATCGCGTTGAAATTTGGACAGATGTTTAGCATAGTCTCGAAGTACACGTAGCCTAATTGCTTTAGTTTTTTTATGAATTCCACGGCGAAAGTTAGTGTTATATGAGCTTAACTTGTAGATATATCAGAAGAAACGCAAGCTAGAGTTGATCAATTGCTAGAGCGTAACAGGAACCTTGTTGGACAAGAGTCGGAGGCCAGTGAAGAAATACCACCGCTGTACCTCAACGAACCAGAGTACCTGATTTGGGAGTACAATCCTAATAATCCTGATTATATTCCCGGAAGATATCCAGAACGTGTTCCTGAAATTTAATTCCATATTTAAATGGTAGTTTTTTTTTAGTATTCAGTTATTTTATTTAGTTTTAAACTCCAAACGAATTGCGTTTTTTTTGGATAATTTCGCAAACTGAATTTCTGATCTTTTACTTTTGTGTTCCTTATCCAAATTATACATTATTTAATACATTTGACCTTTATTTAACTTTATTTATCAGCGTAAACTTTTATCAGAAAGGTATTCATAAATTTCCATCTTATGTATATTTGTTTAAACTGATAATGCACACAAACTTTATTGATCAGATTATTGCAATGGGTATTATCTTGAAATTTACGATGACGTTAATCTCCCCTCTAATATGTACAGGTATATCTTTTAATAATTAAAATATTCAATGAATCAATGAGTGACATGAGTTAATTTGTTTATTGTTACGACTAACGATGAAATTATAAATTTTTCGTTTAATTTCTTATTTATGTTCTGAAACATTCACTGATTGAATCTCGTAGGCGCTTTACATCAAGCTGTACTAATTTTGTCACGACACAAGAGGCTCACGCACAAGAGGATTGTTGCTATGTCAAAGAAACACTGAAAGTATAACCTTAATATTATAACAAATAAGTTTTTTTTATACTTAAACAAATTTCCGAAACACAACTACGTTATCATCATCATCTTCCTTATCCTACTCCCGTAGGGTCGGCACAACAGGTTTTTGACCTCCAAATTACTCTGTCATACGTCATCTCAGTCATCACTCCCTTCTTGATCATGTCACCTTACACGCAATCCATCCATCTCTTTCCCTAGAAAAGCCCTACCTCTACCGGTGTACCCTTCCACACTCGTACCTAACGTTCTCCTTGTAACATGCGATTCATCCCTCCTCAGAACATGCCTAATTAACAAAACTACTTAATAATTAAATTATATTTACTATTCTTATGATTTCTTACGTACATATTTTGCATCTAAAATCTAATCCTGTTTGATAGATGAAGATTGTTATTGCTTTCTGTGTACAAATAAAATAGCTTCACTATACATTATTCAATCTGTATTAGTCAGTATATCTCATAAATCACAAATTTTAACACTAGATTGATGATACCGGTTGCATTAATTCTGCTCCTATAATCCAGTTTCCAATTAGAAATGATGGACTGATTCCGAACAATTGAAGCAAGTGAGTCGGAAATGATTTATGTACAATACTATGAGCTTTATTACAATGCGTTTGTTTATTTATTTAATATTTAGATCTGGTACAGGTGTAAACAGAAATTATAAGCAATAAATACCCTTAGAACTATTCTTTAATCCCCTGCCTATTGTGATAGAAAATTCACTGAATATGAACCATTTATCATGAACATAACCAATGAAGTTGATAATATTCCCAAACTAATCTTGAGTTTCCACTGCCGAAGCATTTGTCCACAAACATATTACTATCGCGATTATTCACGCGAGTATAAAAGAGATATCAGTATATTTTCGGTGGAATATGTCGATAATAGTATATCAAACCGAATAAACATGATAAAGCCCGCATTAGATGTTCTATAGGGAATAGGATCACTTTACTCGAAGGTCGTATAAATATGGACAAACTGTTTTGTAACTTTTTTAATAAACGACCTTTATTATGGAAAGTTATACCTAATATTATTTATACGCAAATATGCATTTGAAATAAAAAATCTAAAGATAAATAGAAATTCCTAGCTTTTGTATACGTCTCAGTCTAGTATTTATGTAGTTTATTAAATGTTTATTTAATTTGTAATTTGTTTAGTTAATGTATCTAGTTTATTTCTAACAAGCTGTTGCTTGGGTCTTCGTCCGCGCGGATTTTTTTTTAAATGTAGCATATGTTACTCAGTGATAACGTTGCTATTTATTGATGAAAGTATTTTTGAAGTCAGCGCAGTAGTTTTTGAGTTATTTCAATATACACAAAAACTACAAATATTTGCTCTTTATAATATAATATAGTATAGATTAAAAAACATATTTGAATAGGTTATTTTAAATAAATAATATATGGGAACTTTAGTCTTTTCGTCTTTATTTTGGCGGTTGTAGTTTTGATGTAGTTAGTTGTCTTGTCCGGGCGCAGTTCAGTGAGCCAGAAACATCGGCTGAGAGCTTCGCAAACAGCTTCATAATGCTCCCGAGCGCATCTACTGCACCCACTAAATTTACCGCTGGCGAAATTTAATTTAGTGAATTTTATGAAGGGAATTACAAACATCAAACGATCTAAGACAGGGTTCTTTTAAAAAATTTGAAGAGAATTTGTTGATTTCTAAATATTTTTCTATTGAGAATTAAATCCTACTCCATTTTAAATCCTAATTTGTTAATAAGTAGTTTTAATTTACAAAGTAATGTAAAATCATGCTAATATTATAAATGTGAAAGTTTAGACGGATGGATGGATGTTTGTTGCCTAAACGGATGAACGGATTTCGATGGAATTTGGTATAGATGCAAAAATAATTCGGAAGAACACATAGGCTACTCGCTTTTGTTTTTTTTACATTCCACGCGGACAGAGTCGCGGGTGGCGAAAAAGAAAGTCTTTAAAAACTCAAAGTTATTAAAGATTTACTTTTTAGTGTAAAAAGTATTTTAATTTAGGTAATGTAGTTTCTTTTTAAACTCGCAAAAGTATGTAAATTTACAATTTTTTTTTTGAAACTTGTAATGAAGTTGAAACTGCATTTCATTTTCATTAAACTACTAAACCTTTATACATACATCTTTTTCATGACTATATACTTTTTATAATGAAAAAGTAAATCTATAGAAGTTAAATATAGTAGAATAAATCGTATTGGTTACAAAAGAAAAATAAATACAATAGCAACTCCGACCTGCGTTATTGTGAGCGTTGGAAGTAGAAACTACGAGCGCTGATGTGCTCGTTTTATTTCCATTTCCTTAAAATAGGGTAACATTTGTTGAAGTCTCTTTATTTCTGATACATTGTTAAACTAAAAAAATATTTAGAACAAATAGGAAATTAGTAAGATGTAGCAAACATCAATGAAGGATATTCGATAGACAACTAAAATGTACAGTCCTCTCTAGTGTTATTTAGAAAAGAAACAAGATGTAAAACACACGCAGACTCACCTCACAGCGAAAACACACATTACACCACAAAAATGGACGACATTCCGTATCAAATAGCGGAATGTCGTCCAAAAAAAAAAGGATCAGCGATACACTCCACACCTTTTTGATCTAATTAAGTTAAAAAAAATCGCAGAATGGCAGCTTACGACAGTCTACGTAGGAGCTATCAGTATGTGCGTGCAGTTCGTAACATGGCGCACTTGGCCTAAGTTTATCTGTAACCAGAATCAGTATTACAGATAGGGAATCTCGGAAAATGTTTTCTGATATGTTCTAGCTTATTTGCACGCTTACATGTTAGATGATAATGGGCTTATAACACTCGGTCTTTTGTAGAGTTAAATCTGTATTTATCATCTATTCTTTTTCTTTTTTTCTAATGGAGCGTAATCACACACTACTTTGTGGCGTTCGATGTCAGCAATCACAGCATATTTTTAAATGATTATTTCTGTAATAAAAAGCCCTACGTTACGCTTTAGGCTATATGTTTTCGCGCTGTTAAACTTAGGGGCTAAATAAATTGGATAAAAACCCCAATGTGGGAATGGGACCATAAGATACAAGCTGCCAACATCAAGGAAGCAAGGTTGTCATTTTGCATTTGAATTTTGACATTTACAAATGTAAACAATAAAATAAAGTGAATATAATTTCATGCGGATGTGCATTCATGCACGGGAATAAATAGCTATAAATAATAAGCCAGTACAAAACGCAATATTACTAAAATAGGTGAAAGACTTTAGTTTAGTTTTTGTTATGTTTTATGTCTACCCGCATCTACCGTTTTGAGACAGGTAAATTTGAGCGTGACAGCTCTGAAAATATTTCACAACTTAAGTCTACCGCTGTCTACCCGGAGTGATGTCTCAAAATGTTTCGAGGATTTATTCAAATGGAAAAAGAGATTAAGTGTTACTTAGACTGCCCAGGGCAAAAAATATTCCAAGGGACTGCAAAACCTAGAGACGTCCGGAGTTAGAAAAAACGTTAAATTTGTTATAAATGATACGATATAATCTTTCACGCTTTAGCTACTTCCTGTTATTCTTCCTTCTAAAATTACTGTTAAACATTTCTAAATAGTATCGTCCTTATAACGGTATATAAGCAAACATATATGCACATATTTCATAAACTATAGTTAATTTAGAGGAGACGTATGCATTCAATCATTACGAACACATGTCGCAGAGCACGTACTGGTTGTTATACGAATTTGAGATTGTTGAATTGTGTTTAATAAATTCAATACGTCAACTACTTCACTCTATTAGTAACGAATTATTTTTTTTTTTTTTATAATAAAGGGGGGCAAACGAGCGGCGAGAACACCGAAGTGGTCAGCGACGCCCATGGACATCCGCAACACCAGAGGAACTACAGATGCGTTGCCGGCCTTTGAGGAAATGATAGGCTCGCTTCTTGAAGGACCCTAAGTCGTATTGGTTTGGAAATACCGCCGAGGACAGACCGTTCCACAACGCGGCTGTGCGGGGCAGGAAGTTCCGCGAAAACCGCACGGTTGTGGAATGCCAGCCATCGAGATGGTGAGGATGGTATCTAGCGGTCTGTCGTGTCGTCCGATGACGAAACTCGGTGGCAGGAATCGTTCCAAACAACTCCTCGGAACACTCCCCGTGGTAAATGCGGTAAAACATGCAGAGGGAACTGACGTCCCTCCGCAAGGCCAGAGGATCTAGCCGATCGGTAAGAGCTCGGTCGTTGACGATTCGAGTCGCTGTCCGTTGTATGCGGTCAAATGGAAGAAGCTGGTATTGGGGTGCTCCCGCCCAGAGGTGCGAGCAGTACTCCATATGGGGCCGAACTTGCGCCTTATAGAGCTGAAGGCGGTGGCCCGACTGGAAATACTGCTTCGCCCTACTGAGCACACCCAGCTTTTTGGAAGCCAGCTTGGCCTTATCTTCCAGATGACCGCGAAACTGAACGTCACTCGATATGTCAACGCCGAGAATACCGATACTGGCTGAGGCAACCAGGGAAGTGTTCTGAAACCGGAGATTGACGA